AAAGGTGATTCTTCATTTCCTTATGCTTATTTAAGAAAAGCATATTGAAGACTGAAACAAAAGACTACACCTGGGGAACCCTGAAAGTTTATAGACTTGTGTGTTCTGGATGGATAGAAGGTACACAGAAGAGTATTTTATTAGGTGTGATAGGATGAAGTAGAAAACGCTGAACCTCCAGGAAATCTTCTTGACACTAAGATCTATTAGGAATTGTCTTCTAAAGGAAATAGATGAAGCCCTATTTCCTGGGATAATTCAAATTGTACTTCAGAAAATAGTAAATATATACAAAGAACATCCTGCGTTTAGAAAAAAATTGGGCAGATGAAATTTTTTTCTACATTTAGGCTGGACAAGCCCCAGACTCCTCCTCTCTTCTCATATGTATACACAGGCAAAAGCACAATTAATACATTCAATATGTAATGTAAAAAGGATGAAACTGTGGAAATAATAAATAACTATAAATATAGTTTTATTCTCAAAATTTTCTGTATTCAAATACATGCAACTTTTTAATTAATAGAATTTTACTGAGAAATATTAATCACAGAATTATAGTAAAATAATAACTTTATCAGAGATCGAGGGTTTACAAGTGCATATCACGGCACACAAACTGCAATATAGCTCAGGTCCAATGACATAGAGTTTTAAAACACTCTACTTCAAGCGTGAGAAGAAAGAGAATATGCTTTATGAAGGAAAAAGTCTTCTGAGTCTTCTGAGATATCAGCTAGTCCTGTGATTTTGCTCTATAACAGCACACCTTGTCTCTCTGACTTAAAGCACAAAGAGGGATTTTACACTAGCATTTTGAAATAGCTAAGCAAGGAAAAGAATTTAGGATTCCCAGCTCTCTGAAATGACTAGTATCTATTAGTGACAAACAAGTCATGTTTGCTCAGCTATAATCAACAGGTAAATGTGTTGGGTTTTCTATCACCACTATGCCAAATAAAATTCAGATTGTCCCACATATACTGACTGCTAAATGTTATTGAAATCTACATGGAGTTCACGTTTCATGTGTCCCAAAAAATTGAATTCTCAGTGTTCTATCTCATTTACACAAAGAATCGTATCTGTAAAGTGTACTAATGAAAATACATATACTAACCAAAAATGTAGACAAGAAGACAGAAAAAGTGGGAGACCTGGTTAAAGAGTACTAACTGGAGTGACCAAAGGAAGCAATAACCAGGAGGAAAGACAATTAATTACAGACTTAAAAAAGGAAAAAGGCATTGGAATGGGCTGTGTGGAGAGGTGGTGGAGTCACTGTCCCTGGAAGTGTTTAAGAAAAAGACTTTTTGGATGTGGTACTTACTGCCATGGTCCAGTTAATAAGGTAGTGTTAGATCATAGGTCAGACTCAATGGTCTCAAAGGACTTTTCCCACCTAGCTAACAGGCACTGGGTCTGTTCCAACCCCCAAATGATGCACATACTTCTAGTATGAAAATAAGTAACAATAAATAAGATTTCAACCTCTGCAAGTTTCAAGATAGGTCTAAGATCTTGAAACCTGCAGAGGCTGAAATCCAGACCCAAACCTGTTAATCAGGCCAGATTGCTCAGGGCTTGCCTTGAAAACCTCAAGGAAAATTGCTGCTGAAAAACCACTTTGGGCAACTTATTCCAGAGCTTTACAGTCCTATCACAGAAAACTATTAACTGGACATTAAACAAACAAGTATGTATGTTCAAAAATAAATGGTCTTTCTGTTCTCTGTCCTTATCAAATTAGAAACAAATGTAAGGGATACCTTGCATAATTTTGATGCTATTAACAGAAAATGACAAAGTCATTTAAGATAATCTCATCTCGTGTGTTTTCATGAAACAAATTTTTAGTTTATTCCATTTTGTGTTACCAGGATAAAAGCACACAGCACGGGAAGAGGAAATTACTTCCATAATAAACAACAACGTTAAAATTAAAAACCCTTTCCTAATGGCTACACAGCATCTTCTTTGCTGAATTTCCAGCCCACTGCCCTGCATGCACTACAGACACTCAAACAGACCATTTCTTTCCTCCTTTGCAGCAATGTTATGTATTTGAAGGCTGTTCACATATTTTCATCTGACTCTACATGAAAAGTAAATAATGCAGTCCTTCCTTAAGGGTTCTGTATTCCTGAGCACCAGTCATTCCCAGTGTTTGCTCTTCAAAATCTGTAAAATTGAAGCCATATCAACACCAAATAGCAATTTTTAAGAAGACTTTTTAATTAGTGTTGCAGGCTTCACTTTGGAACATCTTAGTCTTTCAGTAGCAATTTAATTTTTATTTTCAGGCTACATCTCTGATTTACCAAGAACATTTTGTATTTTAAAGCTTTCTTCTAGTTATTATCAGTACCTTCTGACTTGCTATCATCATGTAAGAGTCATATTTCCTATCCCATACTGTAAAATTAAAATTCTAAGCAGTATTAGAAGGAGAACAGATCCCCATGATATAGTTTGCCTACTTGGCAGCAAACCAATTAAAACTGCTCTCAGTATATACTTTTTCAGTCACGCTATAAAAGGGTAAACCAATGTTTTTGTTGCAGTTATAAGACTATCACATAAGAGTGTCATTATCTACGTAACACAAAGAAAACAGAATACAAAGGAGAATTAAAATAAATTCACAGTGAGAGTATATTTCCCCTGGGGGGAAAACTTGCAACATAACACCTGCATGCTTTGTACTTCCTGTACCACTACTGGTTTTTGTAAGAGAGAACCAAGTTCAGCCAGGACCAAAAGCAGAACAAGACTTCTGGATTCCTCAAGAAGAACCAAGTGTGGCAGAGAAACCCTTAAACAGCATAAAGGAATCTCCCTCAGTAATTTACATTATAGATGCTTCCCATAACTGTAATGTGCAAACGATCACCCACTGTCACCTCAGCTGTCTCTGTCTCTCTGATGTCCCCAAGGCTTGCTCTGCCAAAGCAGAACCTAATACAAAAAACCAGCCATTTCAATTTGATGAAACAAGGTATAAGTTTCAAGTATTCAATCCTAAGAAATGAAACTAAACCAAAAGTAGAGGACGGTTCATTTCCATGTACTTCGGCAGGGAGTCTGGAATGGCAAATACCCCACACTGAGGTAGCTGTGCCCCTCCCTAGGTGATATGCAAAATAGTGTGTGCAAAAATTTTGTTCCTTAATATCCAATACTAGGCAGAATTTTTGGTAATAGGAAAATTTTCCATTTCAGGCTTTGTAATTGTGTTTGTTACACACAAAGTAGTATAACTATTTCATTTTGTGCTGCTATGTTAAAATGCAAATATGTTGGTAATTTTTTTATACTGGAGTTTAGTAGCTGAAACTCTACACTGTTATTCTTAAACAATTATTTGAATTAAAGTCAAACTGAAAAACTGCTAAAGACCTACTTCCCATAGCCTTAAAACACGTTTCCTACACAAATATCATGTGTAGCTTCTGATGAGACTAGCCCAAATTATTTTTGAGTGATCACTGGTTCACAAAGAACCTTCCACTCTTATATTTCCTTTAATGTGAAGGGCAGTTGAATGCAGCATTAGTAAGAAATAATAGTAAACATAATAATAAACACTGGAAGTATTTTTAAATGGGACCTTTTAATTATCGTCTCAATTTATGAGACAGAAAGAAAAAAAACAATGGTCTAAGCATGCTGGTTTAGCTCCCTCATAAGAAAAATGTGACTACCAGTAGTTGGGTCATTTAATCTCTGCCTTAAAATAAGGGAAATTAAGCAAAGAGAGTGGCAGCAACAGCTGGAACCATGTGCCTGTGCTCAAACACAATTTATTCATAAAACTCGAGGAGAGCACAGCACAGCTGCAGAGCAATTATGGGGAGGGAAAAAAATGAAAAAAAAATCCACAAACCCTTCAGAACTGATGAATAATGATACTACCAAGGAAATAAGGTCTGTCATTGGAGTTAGAAACACTCAAGATTAACAAGTGGATTTTTTCAGAGACTGAATCCTCACATTATAAATGTTAGTTGCTATGGATACTGGTTTTTACTTCTGATACTTCTTCCTTCTTGGCTACTGGGATACTTCCTCCTAAAAAAACCTCCACATTTTAAATCTGCTTCAATTCTGTTAATCCATAGCATGCTTTCTCTAAAATATGTACACTGGAAAGCTGTCTGACACTTCTGAAGAGGTATGGTGGGTGAGTGAATATATCCATGTCCAAAGCAGCCTAACTCACAAATATATTATACCTTTTTAAATTCAGAAGCTGCCACCTACTCTCTATTTTCATCAGTCTGAATATTGCCAGAATAGCAGCTTCTGTCATTCTTCATCTTTATGATATATAAATTCAGCAGAAATGCTTTTCTGCACCTTTTTTAGACAGTGGGCTGAAGCACAGAGAAACTACCTGTTTCAAAAAAAGAGTCTTATTTCAGGTTGCCTAATCCAGACCAGACAAAACTAGTGAGAAACCAGTAAACAGGCATGAATATGGTTAAGAACTGAATTTACAACCATAAAGTATCACCCTGCTACTTTAATTCCTATTAGACAAGCTGTTGTCTGGCTCTTCCTTCCACTTGTCCTTCAACACACTTTTTTTTGCCTTTGATTGATGACCTAGGAAGACTCACCTGTCAGAGGTAACACAAGAAGATTGTGTTGCATCATCTGATGCCACCCAGTGCTGGAATTCTATCAGCCAAGACAGCCTTCCACAAGGCCAGTTTAGCTCCCATTTTAGTACAAGCTATTGAACTATTTCCTGCCACTGCAGGGGTTCTGTTCATTCCTCCAAAAACTTTTTCTTAGAGAGCAAAAAAAAATCTAAATGAAGCCCTGATGGCGCTCAGCAAATACATAAAGAACTTCTCATTCTTAAGCATTTACATGTCAAAAATTTAAGAATTTTATTAATTAAAGGGTTAAGGCACACAGAACAAAACTCTGCTTTGCTGGCCACATATCATATTGTTAAACTAGTAAATTACATGGACAGAATAATTTACCTTTTCACCTTCTTCACCTTTACTACCTGGAAAGCCACGTTCACCCTGGAACAAAAAAGGATAAAATACAAATCTCAAACAAACATTGTTCAAGTAATTGTATTCTTTAAAATAATTTTACTGCACTGAACTTTTATTATGAGACAAAAATGAAGTAATTTGGATGCTGATTGTCTCTCATTCAAAAAGGTGTGAAATGTCTACCAAAAAAATTATATGGCTTTCCATAGTTTTGTCATTTAATAGGAGTAATTTATTTTTCCATTCATCCTGTGGGATTTTCTCAGATTTAAAAATTCTCAACTATTTATTGACTCTAGACCTGCTTATTAAAGTACTTATATTCTTCGTGCAGAACCAATTTTAATACATATATTCCTATTAATACCTTCATTTTAGTTTTAAAATATAACTACTCAATCACGAAGATCTCCTACCCAGATTTATATGAAAAAATATACAGATAACGATTTATGAAAAGAAAACTAATTTCTTTCACTTTGAAAAGCATATGAAATTACCCAAGTATTAAAAACAAACCAAAACAAAGAAAGAGAGAACACAGAAGGGGTGAGTTTTAAACTATAAACTCAAGATCAGGTTATTTCAGCAGATTGAATTCTTTGTTTGATGGTATTTCAATTAAAAGCCCTATTATAATGCTCTTTCCAGCTCTAATTTCATAACTTTTAGCTCAGAAAAGGATCACAGTGTACAATGTTACTATGTTAACATCTTCATCAAATGCAATCTGCAGTCTGTCTATATTCTACAAAAATAACACCTGCTCTAGGTTTTTATTAATGTATGCTTGCGTGTTTTGTGAGGCACACAGAAGACAGATGGGCAAAATTATATACAGACAGCACAAAAACGACTTAATTAAAAAAATGCAAACTTTTTCTTTCTCCCTCAAATCATCTAGCAGGAGACAGTTTGCATGTCTTTTCCAGCGTCCAGAATTCAGTCTCATGGCCTCAGTACAACACACATGATTTTTATACATCTGTAGATGAAAAGATTGGAAAATATCCAAAGGAAAGCTTATGGTGTTTTTAAAGTTCCTTTAAAAAATTAGACAGAGCAATGTCTAAACATTCTTTCACCCTTCAGAGAGTGTAATTTTCTTAAATAGAAGTTTAAGGTTTAAGTGAGGTTAACTAGAACAGCTGGCTATAACTAGCAAAATTTGTAGCAGCATTTTGTCAAATCTTTCAAGTAATGTATCATGTACTGATCATCTACTACACATCTGGGAATTGAATTCAAAGCTTTGGAGGTGTGCAGAAGTATAAGTTATCAAATAGTTCTGGACTTTTCATCACTTCCTACAGTGGCTGCCTTTTACTTTTTTCTTTTGGAGGGGGTGGCTTATACAATCAACAGCTCAGTTCTAGAAGCAAGCCCAAGAGCAAGCATACAAAATAGTATCTAGAGAAATAAACTTCATATGTCCTCACCAAAAATGAGAGGCTAATTCCTGAAATAGTTTACAAATGTATACGATTTCTGTTCAGTTAATCTAGTTTCCTTTTTTGCGAAAAATCCTGTCAGATATTCTTTTGAAGCCCCTTCCAATCTGGGTTGTTCTGTGATTCCCATTCTAACCCAGCTGCTGTACACACAACACAGTTAACACTCTAAAAAATTTGTGAAAGTGTTTTCTACATTTAGCTTTCCCATTTGTGTTTTTACCCAATCCCAAATTCATAATATGAAAATTATTCTGAGATACAGTCAACATTTCTCTAATTTTAGCTTGTATTCATTGCCTCTCATCCTTTCATTGTACACTTCTGATAGGAGTCTGACTCTAGCTTTTCCACACCCACCCAGTATTTACAGACAGCAATGAGTCTGCACACCACCCACCATCCCCTGCTTTCCAAATCATCTCAACTTAAGGCTGAACAAGCCCATCTCCCTCAGCCTCCCCTCTCACATCATGGGCTTCAAGCCCTGGCCATCTCGGTGGGTCTCTGCTGGACTCACCCCCCGGAGCTGCTCTTTACCCTCTCCAGGGAGCTCCAAAGTGGATGCAGAACTCCAGATGTGGCAGCACAAGCACTCACCAATCACTCTTCCTGGTCTGCTGGACACGTACCTGCTAAGGGAGCCCAAGATGCCTTTGGCCTTATGCAAACAAACGGCATCCAGCAGAACTCCCGGCTCCCTTTCTGTAGAGCTGCCTTCTAGAAATTTGGCACCTGGCCTGTATTGTGGCATGAGGGTATTCCTTCTCAGAGGCAGGCCCTCATGTTTGCCTTTGCTTAACTTTAAGGGTTTTGTGATAGCTCATTTCTCAATATTGTTCCTTCCTACCTTCCAGCACACTGACTACTTCCCTGCATCTGATAACATCCACGAACTTGCTGAGAGCCCTGTCATGCATGTTATTAATAAGGACATTAAATAAGATCCAGTATTGCCTCATGGGCTATGACACTTGTTATTAGGTAGCAATCAGACTGCATAGCATCATTCCACCTTTGACCCCAATCTTCCACTGACTGTGTTGTTCCTTCATCCAGTCAGAACCCCAGATTATAGTGTAATTACATGTCTGAAGACTAGGCCAAAAGCCTGGCTGGAATCAAGGCATACAACACCCACTGCTCTCCCCTAATCCACACTGACAGTCATTTTATCAGAGTAGGCAATCAGGTTGGTCAATGTAATTTATCCCTTGTAAATCCACGCTGGCTATTTGCAGTGACCTTCTAGTCCTTCCTCTGTCCAGACATGCCTTCCAGAATGTGCTACATAATTTTACCAGGGACAGAGTTGGGGGTGACTGGCCTGCAGTTCAATGGATCCCTCTTGAAGATGGACCTGATGTTTGTTTGTTTCCAGTCATCAGTGACCTGAATCATAATTTTTTGATAATGACAGAGGGCAACCCTGCAGTCACATCAGCCAGCTGCCCCAGCACTCCTGGATGCATAATGTTTGGTATTGTGCAAGCATCCAAGTAGCTTAAGTGCTCCTTAACACTCTCTTCTGTGGCCAGTGGTTCATCACCACACTCTCTGCTAAGATGCTTAAATAAACTGGGAGGCATGAGGGCAAAACTTATTAGGGAAAAAAACAAGGAAAAAAAAAAAAAAGGGTACTTTGCTAACATGCTGAAATAAACTGGGAGGCATGAGGGCATAACTTATTAGGAAAAAAAACAAGGTAAAAAAAAAAAAAAAGGGTACTCTCAGCCTTTTCCACATCCCCCACCCCATTAAGCAGCAGGTCAATCTTTTCTTCACCTTTGTTTTTGCTATGGATGCAGTTAACAGAAGCCCTTCATGCTGCCCTTAAAACTCTTACTAGTTTCAATTCCAGATGAGTTTCTGGTTCCCTAACTCCATCACCACGTGCTCTGGCAGTGTCTCTGTGTTCCTACTGGGTAGCTCACCCATGCTTCCACTGCTTTCTTTTCTGTCTGAGGTCAGCCAGAAGCATCTGGTTCATCCATGCTGGCCTTCTGCCGTACTCACTCAACTCCCTGCATAACATCATGGAGTGCTCTTGGGGTTTTAGGAAGCTGTCCTTAAAGATTAACCAGCTGGGCTCCTCAGATTTGCAGGACAGTTTCTATCATTCCTTGGCTTCCTCTTTGCCAGACTCAAAAAATTTTTCTCCTTGAAACTCTCCTCAGATGTCTTGTTTTCTAGCCTCCTGAACATAAACTAATTCCCTGCTGGACCTTCTCTGGTTTATCCATATCTCTTGTAGAAGTGAGGGTGAAGGACTCCCCCAAACATGACACAGCATACCAGCAGCACCACCAAGCAAAGTGAAAATATCCCCCCCGATCAGCTAGGTGCAATTTTAGTTATATTCACAATTAAGTCTCACAATTCAGTCTCATGTCTACATCCCCATTATTTTCAGCAATGCTGCTGTTCCACAAGTCAGTTCTTGCCTGTACCAATGTTAGTGATCAACAATGTCTTATGTTTCAGAAATAGCCCAGATTTTTTTGCACATATTTGAATTAAAAAAAAAAAAATCTAAATAAGAGAAAATAGGAAATATAGTCAGCAAAATGTATGTAAAGAAGCTTAGGAAATTTCCACTTGACAATATAAAAAATATAACAGTATTAGCCACGAGTAACTTCAAAGAATTCAAATGCTGCAGAAATAAAAAAGTGACATTTAAAAAGTATCACATATATGGCTGACTTAAATTCTCCTTTGTGTAGCAAAACTCTAATATTAAGTTATGCAAAACATTTCAAGTTTTTCATGGACAATCATTGATTACTTGTCCTGACATCACTACAGGATTGCTGATCTGATTTTCAGCATTTTAAATATGTCTGCAGTACAAGTCAGTGGGATCCTGGCTTTGAATGTAGAAATGGATAGACTGTGGTAATCTTGTTGCTGAAAAAAATGCTGGCTACCTCATCTGCAGAAAATAAGTTCCTTCCTTCCTTCCCCTTGTGCTATATTACAGGAAGTGTCTGCCCTAAAGATACACAAATTGCATCAAGGTCATGTTGCAGAGCATTTTCTTGAAATTTTAATAACAACAAAATAATGGGGAATTTTTTTGTGTGGTCTCTTAATTTGTTGAAGCAGCAGAACTATTTCCCCTATAATTTTCTAAAAGGAATTGGCTGGACAGGCATTAAGACTTAATTCCAAATATTTGCCATTAAAAGCACCTGCAATCAACAAAAAATCTGAGCATGAAAAGAGGCAATTTCAACAAGTATTACCAGCAAGGTCTATAATAAATATATCTCTTTTTGCAAGTTCTGGCCTTCCTACAATATTCCAATTCTGTAAAGGAGCAAAAGATTAAAATGGAAGAGTGGAAGAAGTGCTGCTCCTCATCTGATTTTGCTGAGATCTCAAGACTCTCAAATTTCAAATTTTTGAATCTGTAATCTTGTACTTGAAAAGACCTGTACAGTTTAAAGAATTAGGCAACTGGTCTTAATGCAGAATAATATTGCTGGGCAGGTTTGTACCCCAGCACCACAGGTCCTTTCTCTTTTGAAAGAGAAGTCAATAGTAAAGTTTCTCTGTCACATTATATAA